TTGTTGTTGTTGTTGTTGTTGTTGTTGGTGGTGTTGCTGCTGCTGTTGTTGTTGTTGTTATTGGTGCTGTGTGTTGTTTGTTGTCTGTTGTTTGTTGTTTGTTGTTTGTTTGTTGTTTGTTGTTTGTTGTTGTTGGTGGTGGTGGTGGTGGTGTTGCTGTTGTGGTTGCGGCTGTTGCTGCTGTTGTTATACTTGTTGCTGTTGCTGCTGCTGCTGCTGCTCTTGTTGCTCAGACATTGGGGCATGCCTGTTCCTGTGCTGCCACTTCTCCCTCCGGGCCGGCGTTGGCCGTGCCGGCGACGGCCTCCCCCAGCTTCTGCCGAGGAGGCCGTGTGCTGGTGGCGTCAGCATGCCGCCTCTCCACGGGAGGGGCCAGTCAATGCACCTCGAGCGGCGAACGTATCCATACCGCCCATGTGGCCTCCTACTCCTCCTCCTCCTCCTCCTCCTCCTCCTCCTCCTCCTCCTCCTCCTCCTCCTCCTCCTCCTCCTCCTCCTCCTCCTCCTCCTCCTCCTCCTCCTCCTCCTCCTCCTCCTTTCCTCCACCTCCGCCTCCTCATCCTTCTTTCCTGCGAGCTCGGAGGTTGTCCGCCGTCCCCTCGGCAGGCCCTCGCCTGGCCCGCGGCGGGGATTGCTGGGAGCATGCTTTTTTCGGCCCGGCTCGCTGGCCCTCGGCTAGCTTCGTGGGCTGTTGGAGGCCAGCTGCGCGCGCCTCGTCGAGGGCTTTCCAGGTCGGCGGCGAGCAAGGGGGGGAAAGGAGAAGAAGAAGGCCTTCTCAGAAGGGGGCGGGACTTCTCAGAAGCCCTGGCGCCTTCTGAGCGGGTTTTGTGTCTTCGGGGAAGGTTTAGACACTTCTCAGGAGGCCGGGGAACTTCCGAGCCTTCTGAGAAGGCCCGCCCCTTTTCACTTTCCCCCCGCGCTCGCTGCCAATACTGATGTTCGAGAACGGCGGACGTCGGGAGGGGTCCGAGACCTCCGATGTCTGGACTTTTTCCATGCGCGGCCCCTGGAAGTCCCAGCCCTTGACCCTGGGGCCGATTTGTCATTCCGAGTCGCGTTCTGACGGTGCAGGCTCCTCCTCCTCCTCCTCCTCCTCCTCCTCCTCCTCCTCCCTGGCCTCCTCCCTGGCCTCCTCCTCCTCGTCCTCCTCCTCCTCCTCGTCCTCCTCCTCCTCCTTCTCCCCTCCCCGCCCCTGGGCGAGAGATCTCGCAGCGTTCTCAGGCCGCGCTGAAGTGCTGCAGGCCCTGCGACGTCAACCGCCTCGCGGACGGCCTGATCGACATGCTCCCCTCGCTGGCCGCGGGGCGAGGAGGAGAGGAAGGGGGGGAGGAGGAAGGATCGGAGGATGATAGACCTCCTACCCTGACATGTCGATTAGCGAATTGGCCGTTTTCGGTTCGCTGGAGGGCGTCGCGGCCGTCATTTTGCGGGTCCAGGTCCGTTGGTTTTGGTCCTAGGCCGTTTTGAATAAAGGTTGGTTTTTTAACGGGTGGTTTACTAAAGCGTGGTTTACGAAAGGGGAGGAGGAAGGAGGGAGGATCAGAAGCTGGGCGACGGCTGGCAAACCCGTGGCTGCTAAAACGGAGCTCCGGGTGATTTTTTTTTTTTTTTTTTTTTTTTTTTTTTTTTTTTTTTTTTTTTTTTTTTTTTTTTTTTTTTTTTTTTTTTTTTTTTTTTTTTTTTAAATCTCTTCCGGGAAGCAGCTCGTTTACTCTTTGGTGTGTCGAGCTTGATTCCCGGGATCTGGTTTTCTTTCTTCCGGGGAGACCGTTTTAGTAGCCACGGATTTGCCAGCCCTCGCCCAGCTTCCAAGAGGAGGGGAGGTAGGGGTGAGGATGGCCCGCTTCGGGGCCCCCCATGCTTTCACAAGTGGGTACGGGACGGAAGGCTGCCAGTTGGGAGGTGGTCGGGACCTCCGTGGGGCCGCGGATCGACAACAGTTACTCCAGCAAAGCGCCCGAATAGCAGCAACGGTGAAGAGGCGGGTCGAGAAGTAGGAGGTCGGCTAGTGAGCACGTGCATTCCTATGTATTCCTAGGGGTTCCAAGCGACAGCGAAGTCATGTGCACCACAAGATATGTCTCGACACGGGGTCGTGGCCCAACGTAGCCATCATTGAGTCGAGAGCACGATTCCCGAATAAGCTGTGAGGGAGTCTCAGGCGAAACGGCGGCCAGATCCGGGCGCCCTCGGGCTCCCCATTCCCCCCTGTGAGATCCGTCTGGGTTTTCACTTCTGTCAGAACCCTCGGCGGAGCGCTTTGAGAGAAAGCGCTGCACAAGCATAAGCTTTCGGAGCTCCGCGCGGAGCTCCGAGATTTTGTTTGCACAGTCGTTGCTTCTCTAGGGAGGTCGTCGTCGTTGTCGTCGTGGTAGTGGTGGTGGTGGTGGTCCTAGTCGTCGTCGTCGTCGTCGTCGTCGTCGTCGTCGTCGTCGTCGCGTCGTGGTGTTGGTGGTCGTCGTCGTCGTTGTGGCAAGATGATGCGGGGTGCTGCTTTCCCTAGTTCCTCGGCCTCTGGGGGGCTCGTTGTGGGCGCCGCGGCCCCTCGGGGGTCCGGCCGGGCCCGGGCCCCAGGATGGGGAACGAGGACCTCGATCACGCGCAGGGGCGCGAAGATACCCATCGGTCTTTGAGAGTAGGTACTTCTTGAGCCCCAGGTTCCAATCTACTTCAGGCGCCTTCCTGCTTCCACCATCGAGTGGTTTTCCCTCTTCCTTCATCTTTTTTTGGGGGGGGGGTGGAAGCCCAATCTACTTACAATGCCCTCCTACTTCTTGTTTCGATGTTCTTCTTCCGACAGACTCGTGGCAGTGTTTTTTACACTTACAGATATGTGTGTATACATACTGTTATACGTACTCTTCCGCCTCCTTCTCTTCGGGGTAGTCGCGCTTCTCGCGTCGCGGTTTGTGCTGGAGCGGCTGCCTTATATCCAGGGCGGTGCGGCGCGGGGGCGCGAAGGGAGCACCCCGCGTCGCGCACCGCGGGGCGCGATGCGCGATTGATGGACATGTTTTCCACCACCGCCACCATAAGTTGGAGGAGGAGGGTGTCCTCCTCCTCCTCCTCCTCCTCCTCCTCCTCCTCCTCCTCAACCACCTCCTCCTACTTTTCTTCTTCGTCCTCCTCCTCCTTCCCCCTCTCCAACTCATGGTGGTGGTGGTGGAAAACGCCCATCAGCGATGTCTCGAGCAGGAATTCGGCTGCCTAACTTTTTTTCCCTAGAACTGCTGGCTTCGTCGAGTCCACAGCACACGTAGAATGCTCAAAACCGTACGTCAGTTTAACCGAACCCCATCCCCATGCCCATCCTCTTCGAGACGCCACCGAATTACCCCCCAGTTGGGGATACACCCCTCGAAACCCGAAGGATACGGCCTATATCCCCATCTAGGGGGGTAAATCGGCCAGTGGGGCCCAGGCCACGCCGCTGGGGATAGGGACCGGATAAACGATGCTCAGTACGGGCATTCTACGCTTGTTTTTGTTCCGTGGATTCGGCGAACATTTTAATTTCTCGGGGTGCATCGCTTCTGTGGCCGATCTCCTACAGTGGGGGCCCATGCCAAGCAACACCCTGCTTGCCTCCAGGGTGCCCTGGGTTCCTTGGGTTCCGATGGTTTTGCTATGGTCAGCGTGGCGTTCCCACACCAAGAATCACTGGACGCCCTGGGGCCTCAGGGTTGGGTTTCTTGTGGAAGGTTTCTTGTGGACTGGCTTCCACTGTACTCGAAAGCCACTTGGCCCAGCGGACTCTCGCCGTCGGGCTGCCCCGGCTCGAGGTCCGAGGCCTTCTGGCACGGCCCCTGCCCCCCCCGGACGCCTCGCGGGGGCCTCGCCCGGCCGCGGCCTGCTACTGCGAAGGCCCTGCGGCCGGCGCCGCCGCCCCTGGAGGTCACCGCCCACCAAACCACCCCATGACCCTACCCGAAGGCCCCGATTCCCCCTCCATTTCCAGAGGGGGGGGGGGCGGGGAACGCTGACAGAAACACATATGAAGCCCGTACCCCCCCCCCAAACCCGAAATTCGGGTCTTCGGGTTCGGTTGGGGAGGTCTGGCAGGTAGTCAGGAGGCGGGACCTGCCCCGGGAACCCCCGCTGGCGACCCCGCCCAGGGGGTCTCTCTCTGGCCCTGGATACTTTCTTCTTGCTGATTCGGACTCCCTCGCATACTTGTCATCTGCCGTGGCTCCAAATGCAGTGTATGTGTGCGTATGTACTGTTATCTGAAGCGCCACTCGATCGTCGCCGGCGGATCCCCGATTGGGCACGCTCGACCTCCCTCCTGTTCCCCTCGTTCCGCTTCCGTTTTCTGCCGTGGTGCTTCCGCCTCCTTTGCTGCCGAAGCGACGTGCGCTCCTCCTGCTCCTCCTCCTCCTCCTCCTCCTCCTCCTCCTCCTCCTCCTCCTCCTCCTCCTCCTCCTCCGAACAAGCCGATGGGGTGCCGGCCGTGGACGCGGTCGAGGCCGTTTGACGTGGCGAGGGGTGCGGCGGGTGGGGCGATGGGCGGGGAGGAAGGTCGTAAGCCGCTCGTCCCCGTGGAGGTGCCCGCCCGGGGCTGCGCGCTTGTCGTGCGGATCTCGGGGGCGGAAAAGAGGGGGGTGATGACTAGGGGGGGGTGGATATCATGGCGGGGGCCATGATATCTCCCCAGATCTCGTGGCGCCTCTTCTTGTTTCATTACGTCCCTGGCCCCCCCGCTGGGCCGCGCACATGCCGCCGGTCATGATTTGCCCCCCCCCCTCTTGGACACCCCCCTCTTGGCCGCTCCCGAGGATCGCCTCCGGAGGGGCAGCGCGGGCTGGTCCCGGGCGGCTATGGTCGCTCAGGACAGCTCCAGGGTCATGCATGGTCGCTCTGCGGCGCCCAGAAGTGTTCGCCGCCCTGCCCTTCCAAGTGTGAGCGGACCACTTCCCAGGGCCAACTGAACTGAACTGAACTCCTCCTCCTCCTCCTCCTCTGCCCGCCCCTCCCACCCACCCCCCGCCCAGCACCCAAAGGCCACCACCCGCTTCGGCTCCTACGTCTACAACACTTTGTGCGTGCACGAGGACCCGGACATCAAGGCGCCCCCCCAGAACCTGCGGGCGGACGGCAACGGAGGGGCCGGAATCGTGGGGGAACCGAGGGTCGCAGGAAGGCGGGCCTGAAGGGGTCCCTGAATGGCCCCTGAGCTGCCCCCGCGGGCCCAAAAGGTGCACGACAGGCGCCCGGTTCTTCACCCTCCGTTGATCGCCCCCCCGTCGACGAACACCCGAAGCTTCCCGTCTTGCTCCCTTGTCGCGGCGCGAGGAGGCGGAGCGACTCTCGACTCGTTGGCGCTGGGATCGGCGGAGAGCCCACAGCAGAGGAGCGGTGGGCCGTCTGGAGGTGGCAGCCCTGATGTCAGAGCTGCGTCCGGGGTTGTCGGGCCCTCGCGGGGGGGGGGGCGGCCCGAGCAGCTCTTGGAAGCCTCCCGGGGGCCTCTCGGCTCTTGGAGGCCTCTCTTGCACTGGCTTTTGGTCCGTCCTGGAGTCCTGGTGGCCTCTCCGGGGCCCCCATGAGCCCCCCGGGGGCCTCCTCAGCACCCCCCCGGGGGGGCCCCTCCACCGCCCAGGGGGCTCCCGCACTCCTCCAGGGGGCCCTCTCACTCCCCCGGAGTGCCCCCCTGGATGCCCCCGTCTGGGGTGCGACGGACCAGCATGTGGCAGGCAACCGCATGTTGCAGCGACCCGAGCAGGAATTGCCCTCCACCAGCATACAGCACCGACAGGCGCATGCGGCACCGTGCGGCAGCGCACACCAGCAGACAACAGCAGGCATCGGCATACAGCGGCGCACAGTAGCAGGCAGCTGCAAGCATCATCCCGGACCGACAGCCTACATTGGCAGACAGTGGCGTACATACCATGCAGCAGCATTCAGCAACATGTGATACAGAAGCGCGCAGCTGGCTGTGATTTGAGTGCTGCGGCCAAAGTCGTTGCCCTTGCTGTCGTTGCTGCCGCTGCTGCGTCAGAGAGAGGGGGAGACAGAGACAGAATGAGAACGAGAAACATAGGAAGCAACCTATATACCTATCTATCTATCGATCTATCTATACATCGGGAGAGAGAGAGAGAGAGCGAACAGACAAGAGAGAGAGAGAATACTCCGCTGCTGGAGTGAGGCTTTCTGGAACACAGGGGGGCGTTGCACCGACAACCGCTGCCAGAGATGTAACTCCCAAGCGCGACGATTGCATCAAACTGGACCTGCGTGTCCCACACCAGTGGACCCCAAGAATTTTGACACAATCCCACAAACAATCATTGATCATTGAGGGTTATGGTGAAATGATTATACGAATGCGAATGGTGAATACGGACGTAGCGCCCCGCAATTGCGGATAAGAGTGAGGGGGCGGGCGCGGGCGACGCGGGCGTCGAGCCCGCGGACCTCGTGGCCCTCACGAGTGCAAAAGAAGCTTGGAACGAATGCAAAAGAAGCCCGCCGCAGGCGCCGAAAATTTTGGGTGGGTCGCGGGGTGGGTCGCGGGTGGGTCGCGGGTGGGTGGCGGCGGGTCGCGGGTGGGTCGCAGGTGGGTCGCGGGTGGGTCGCCAGGTGGGTCGCGGGTGGGCCGCGGGTGGGTCGCCGGTGGGTCGCGGGTGGGTCGCCGGGGGAGTCTCGGGGTGGGTCGCGGGCTGGTCACGGGATGGGTCGCGGGTGGGTCGCGGGTGGGCGCGGGTGGGTCGCGGGGTGGGTCGCGGGTGGGTCGCGGGATGGGTCGCGGGTGGGTCCCGGGTGGGTCGCGGGGTAGGTCGCGGGTGGGTCGCGGGGCGGGTCGCGGGTGGGACGACGACAGCAACAAACAAGAAACAACAATCACAACAATAATCCGCACCGCGGAATTCCACTTCAGCCACGCACCCAGGGACAGTGAATGACCGTTCGGTTCAGCCCCCTTACTCTGATTATTGTGGTTCAAGACGAGTTACGAAGCATTCATTCTTGCTGGGTCCCCTCTTTGCGCTCTGGCGTTTCGGCTTCGGCGCCAGTTGCAGTTCCTTTGCAATTGAGGCTCGCGCTCAATCGTGTCGGGGTTGCGCCCAGACCGACCCCCAAACCAGCAATCACAACTGCAATCTTTTCATGACTGTTCGCTCTTCTCTGCTCGCGTGTCACTCAACATGGAAAGCCCGAGCCTTCCATGCCCGCCCTCTGCCTCTACGATCGTACCCCCCTTGGGCCTTGCGGGTTTATCCTCCTGAACTGCCAGGTGTAATTGACGCAGCCCCTAAAGGAGGGGGAGGGAGGAGGGAAGTGGCAGGGGGGAGAGAGAGAAGGATGGAACACGAGAGAGAGAGAGAGAGTAGCAGGAGAGGGTCAGACACAACAGGAAAACAAGCGGCAGAACCAGACGGGCGGATCGGACAGGCGGACTCTGACGGGCGGGTCGGGCGGGCGCGCCCAGACAGCCGAGTCGAACGGGCGAGTCTCTGAAGCGTGCGTCCTGCATGAATCACGAGTCGCTAGGAACTCCTGACCGATAGCGCGATTCCCAAGTACATCGCGGAGAAGTCCCAGCGAGAGTGTGCTTCCTGAGTGGAGAGGGCGCGGCGTTTGAATATGTTACGAGGAAGTCCCACGCGGTAGCGCGATGGTTGCATCATTTGTGATGAAGTCCCGCGCGAGAGAGCGATTCAGAATAAATTGTGAGGAAGACTCCGGATGGGGCCGCTGAATGTTAATCATTCAATTCTGTTGTTGGACCCCCTACATCCGCTTTGGCGCTCTAGCCTCGGCGCCGGCTGCATGTCCTTTCAAATTGAGGCTTGCGCCCAGGCGTTTCGGGGATGCGCCCACACCTCACCGCTCCCCAACGTCGCACTCATTTTTCCATGTGTCGTGCGAACTGAAAGTGGGAAAGTGCCTCGGGAGAGGTGCCGCCTCGACCTCCTTGGGCGAGAGATCTGGGCGTGGACGGAATAGTTCCCCCAAGAGACTGGTTGGCATAATGATGGATGCATGTGGCATGTAGATGCATGGATCATGAGGGTAACACGATTGCTGCTGTTGCTGTGAGCCGGGGGCCAGAAAGGGAAGCAACACTATTCAGTCTTCAGACATGAGAAATCAACAACATTCCCCCGCTCAATGCTTCCTCGTTTTTCACTCAGGTATGTTGCCCCTTCTCGCAGCCGAAAAATGGCCCTCCAACAAGTTCAGCACTCCCACTCGATACGTCTTCTGTGTTTACTCATGAATTGCGTTCGCGATTCGGGTCCGCCGGGTATCGTGGGCTTGGGGGATACATGTTGATTCATACGCGGGCATATGACAGCGAACGGTCTTAAGATGATTGACTCTTTTCATTCTAAAGAACACTTGATGTTGATACTCCCTCTGGTGCACCTGGCGTGTTTTCAATCAGCATGATAGCGAAAGTCTTCCTCTTCAGATTGGGTGGTTGCCCCCCGCTACAGTTCATTTCAACATCGCGCTCTCGCGAGGGACTTCCTCACAATGTGTGCAGGAATCGCGCTCTCGCTTGGGACTTCGTCGCACTTTCTTCAAACTCCACGCCCTCGACGTTCAGGGATCGCGCTCTTGTTTGGCTTCTCTCACGATCTACTTGGGAATCGCGCTATCCCTTCAAACCTCCTCGCGATCCATGCAGGCCTCACGCTTCAGCAACCGCCTGCTCGACCTGGCCGCGGCCCGCCTTCCCGACCCGCCACTCAGGGTCTACCCGCCCGACCCGCCCGTCTGGTTCGGCCACGTGTTTTCTGCTCTTGGCCCCCCTCCTGCTAATCCCTCTCGTGCTCCATCTTCTCCCCCCCCCCTCCGCTTTTCGATTTTTCGCGCCGACTTTCGTCGTTTCCGCACATTCAGTGTCAGAGCGAGAAGTTTCATTATGTATGACGCACCTGTTCTCCTTCTCACAGCGAGCCCCCGACACATACAAATTACCCCAGTGCGACCCTACCTAGAAGTTGGAACCCCTAGGACAGCAGCATTCGTTGCTATGCTATGCCATGCCATGCCATGCTATGCTGCGCTATGCTATACTATGCTATGCAATGCTATCATATGCTATGATATGCTGCGCTATGCTATGATATGTTAAGCTATGTTATGTCATGCTGCGCTGTGCTATGCGAAGCTATGCGATGCTATGCTATGCTATGCTAAGCTGCGCTGTGCTATGCTATGCTATGCTAAGCTGCGCTATGCTATGCTATGCTATGCTGCGCTATGCTATGCTCTGCTATGCTATGCTGCGCTGTGCTATGCTGTGCTGTGCAGTGCTGCGCTATGCTATCATATCTATGATATGCTGCGCTGTGCTATGCTATGCTGGGCTATGCTACGATATGCTGTGCTGCGCTATGCTATGCTACGCTATGCTATGCTATGCTGTGCTCTGCTATGCTAAAGCTCAGCGAAGCTAAGAGGAAGGTAAGCTAAGCTAAGACAAAACTGAGGTAAGATGAAGCTAAGCTAAGGTAAGGTGAAATCAGCTAAGCTAAGATGAGATAAGCAACGCGAAACTAAGGGAACGTCACTGGGGGAACCGCGGGGCGGATGCCGGGGGAACCGCCCGGGACGTGCCCCACTGCCCAGCCCTTTAAGCCTCAGAGTAAGAACCCTTCTAGGCAGAGCCTAGGTAGGGAACAATATGATTACTACCCTCCCTCCTCCCCTGAAGTTGTCCTCAAGATCTCCCGCCCCCTGCGCGTGCGTTTTTTTTTACACAGGATTTCTAAACTTATTGTTCTCATGTGGTTTACATCATGATTGAGTCGATGTTTCAACATGCTGTTCCCGCTGCTGCGTGGGCCACATTTTCGGATCAGCGCTGTGCTCCCGTCGTTCAGACTGGCGCTCTCGCCCCAGCGTGGGTCTTGTTTGGGGGATCCGCCGGATATTGCGTCATTGTGGCCCCCCCCCTCATTTCCCCATCTCCGCCTTCCCCTGGTCCTCCTGTTCCGTTCGCTCCTTCCACTCCAGTCCCTGCTGCTGCTGCTGCTGCTGCTGCTGCTGCTGCTGCTGCTGTTCGTCTTGCCTCAGCGCGCCCCACTTTTCTGAGTCCGAGTGTTTCTTCATCATTGTCGTTCTCCCTCCTCCGCCTTCCCCTGTGGGCAGGGCGGTGCTGGGCATGCTTGGCTGCCTGGGCGGGGGGAGGAGGACCGCGCGCGCTCTCGCGGCGCAGCAGGGCGGCGCGAAGAGGGGGCGCGCCAGCGCGGCCGCCGCCCGCGCGGGCGCGGCCGCCCCGCAGCGATTGCCTTTGCGTTTGCTTTTGCCTGTTCCCGCCCGCCCACGCCAACGGCGGCCATCGCAGCAATCAAACTGACCGATAAGGCTGAAGCTGCCAGCGGGCGCCCGCGAAAAGCCGGAACGTCCTCGGGCCAAAATGCCAGCGGGAGATTGTAATTCACGCGCCAGGTTGAGCCCGTGAGAAGCCTTGAGGCCCTGGGCACAGGCACCCACCACCGCGAGTGCGCCCGCGAGGAGCCCAACGGGCCCGAGGCCAACGCCCGGGGAATGTCTCCTCCACCGCAAAAGCGCCGGGGTTTCGAAGTCGCCACGGCCCCAAGCCAAGGCCAGCTGGCGCGGTGTCTCTCGAGCGCGCCAGGTCGAGCCCGCGAGAAGCTTCAAAGCCGCGGGCAAAGGCCGGCACATCATGCGCGTGCGCCTCCGATTAAATCGGGCCTGTCCCTCTATAGGAAGAGGAAGAATTACCCCAGTGCGACCCGACCTAGAAGTTGGAGCCCCTAGGAAAGCAGCATTAGTTGCTACGCTATGCTATGCTATGCCATGCTATGCTGCGCTATGCTATGCTATGCTGTGCTGTACTATGCTATGCTATGATGCGCTATGCTATGCTATGCTATGCTATGAGTTGCTATGCTATGCTATGCTGCGCTGCGCTGTGCTATGCTATGCTATGTTATGCTAAGCTGCGCGATGATATGCTATGCTATGATATGCTATGCTATGCTATGCTATGCTGCGCTATGCTGCGCTATGCTATGCTATGCTTGGCTATGTTATGATATGCTATGCTATGCTTATGCAGCGCTGCGCTATGCAATGCTACGCTAAGCTAAGCTAACTCTCTAGGCAGAGCGTAGGTAGGGAAGTACACCCATGCTAATGCTATGCTCTGCTGCGCTGTGCTATGCTGTGCTGTGCTGCGCTGTGCTGTGCTATGCTATGCTGCGCTATGCTATGCTATGCTGGGCTATGCTATGATATGCTGTGCTGCGTTATGCTATGCTACGCTATGCTATGCTATGCTGTGATCTGCTATGCTAAAGCTAAGCGAAGCTAAGATGAAGGTAAGCTAAGCTAGGATAAACCTCAGCTACTATGAAGCTAAGCTAAGCTAACATGACAATATGCTAGAGCTCAGCGAAGCTAAGATGACGGTAAGCTAAGCTAAGATGAAACTGAGGTAATACGAAGCTCAGTTAAGGTAATATGACATATGCTAAGCTAAGATGAGATAAGCAACGCGAAGCTAAGGGAACGTCACTGGGGGAACCGCGGGGCGGATGCCGGGGGAATCGCCCGGGGCGTGCCCCACTGCCCGGCCCTTTAAGCAAACCGAATAAGAACCCTTCTAGGCAGAGCCTAGGTAGGAAATATTCTAACATGATAAAACATAGTCGGGGGACGCTGCTGTTCATTATTATATAATGGAAAAGTGTGTTCGATTCTTGAGTTTTTTCTATACTGTTCTCATTCAGAATCCGCCTGTATGGGGGACATGCCCGACCTAAGCCTCCGAGAAGCCCAGGGGGCCCGAGGCCAACGCTTGGGGGAATCTCCCCAACCGCACAACCGCTGGCGCTTGCGAGAAGAAGTCGTCGAGGCCCCAAGCTGAAGCCAGCTGGCGTGATCGCCCGCTGGCCTGGCGCCTACGAGAAGCCCGAGGCCAAAACCAGGCACGGATTTGTTTGTTGCCGATCCAGGGCCTGCGAGAAGTAGATAATAGGGCCCGGTCGGAAACCGGCGGCTACTTTCACCAAGCGGGCCTTGCAAACTCGAGCCGTCGCCCCCCCCACCCCCCCCGGAAGGCAATGCGGGGGGCGCGACGGCCTGCGAACGGATTTGCTTATTGGTTGGAGGGGGGTCGGGGGGAGCCCCAGGCCCGTCCTGCGCTGGGCGCCCCTCGAGCCGGGGGGGGGGCGCTGTTCCCAGGCTCGAAGCGGCACCTCCCCCCCGTTTTGGCCGCGAACTTTTTGGGGGTTTTCTCCGGCTCGCCCATTGGCGGTTCGCTGCGGGGGGTCCCCTTCCCATCTCGTCGGCCCCCCTCATCTGATCGACGATCGCCGGTGCACCAATGAGATCTCTTCTTCCCCCTTTTCTTCCTCCTCCTCCTCCTCCTCCTCGTCCTCCTCCTCCTCCTCCTTCTCCCCCTTCTCCCCCTCGTCCTCTTTCTCTGGCCCTCCTGTTCCTCCTCGTCCTTTCCATCCTCTGCCCCTCCCCCTTCTCCGTCCTTTTCCTCCTACTCCTCCTTCTCCTCATCCCTC